TGGATTTAACATCATAGATGTTGGAGTATAAGTCACATATGAATTGATTGAAGTGCATAATACCTTACATTGAAGAGAAATGAGGAGTTGAATACATATATGGGAGGTTCATGAACCTTATAGGTATATCTTTTTAGTTCAATATGATATCTTCTCATATGTGTTCATGTTTTTTCAAACACGTATTCTCAAATTTATCTATTAAATCCATTACCAAAAAATTGGTATCAAAGTTGATGGTGATAATTGTTCATGGACAAGTTCAGTCAAAAGTGTGAGTGTATAGAAATCTATAATGTAAAAGATGCGATATCTTCGCTAATAGAAATCAAGCTCCCTTTAATCAAAAAAATAAAATAGCCTTTAATAGGCTTTACAGCATACCCTTAACCTCATCTAAACTAAAGTACACTGTGCCATAACAAGCCAGGAGCTACGATTTCCGGTTCCAGTTTCGGCATCACCACATATGTCTCGGGTCAAGGATTTGATGGCTCAACCGCTGCATTAGTCAGATGTCCCTGGTTTTCTTCTACTGTTGACTCTAGGCCAAGTTCATTCTCCAAGTAACGCAGCCACTTCTTTGTCTCAGCTTCGGCTTCTTGTGATTGAACACCATTTGTCGACTGAAATGGTCCAATGTTGTCCAAATACAAAGTGTTCCAAAAATCAAAATCAGACTGACGTGGAATGTCAGAGGGAGGGTCTGCAATGTTTGGCTGATTCACCTCATCAAAAATGCCACGAGCATCCAAGGCTTCTGCAACTCCAAGCAGCAGTCCAATTTCATCATCCTCTTCTGGATTCGAAACATAAGCCTGACTGAAATTGTTAAAGATGGAGGAAATTGAAGAACTTGAAATCTCATTTGTCTCCTCAACCGGCCTTGTTTGTTCCTCTGTGTTGACACCCTGTGTTCCTGGCCACTGCGGTATTTTAGCCACAGATGATCCTTCATCCCATGGCTGCTCCTCCTCAAGTCCCGCCAGTGCCGGATTTATTAGGCCGGTGGATGATGACACCAATGTGCTAGAGGAAGAAGATGATGATGCGGCCCAAGAGGATTCCTTGTATTCTTCTGCTTTAGCAGTAGCAATCTTGCGAGCAGCCAACCTTTTCTTCAAATGAGTGTTCCACATATTTTTTATCTCATTATCTGTTCTTCCTGGCAGGTGTGACGCAATCTTAGACCACCTGAAGAAATTAATTTAATTTCATTTAAAAAAAAAAAAAACAAAAACAAAGAAACAAACTAATGTACAAATGAAGTAAAATCTAGACTGAAACTTACTTGTTTCCCAAGATTTCATGCAGCCTTATAATGGTGTCTTCTTCTTCCCTGGTGAAGTTACCTCTTTTCACATCAGGCCTCAGGTAATTAATCCATCTAAGCCGGCAACTTTTTCCGCATCTTAGTAGCCCTAGACAGAACATTTCAACAATTCAAAGTAAAATTTCGTGGTAAGACAGTAATAAATGTGCATTAGCTACAGCTAAATAAAATCAAACAGCTTCAGTTGTCTTCAGTAAATATTGGATGCTTCTGTCTTCTGTTGTCTACAAATGAAAATTAAAGGAATAAGATACTGTTTTTTGTGGGTTGGTAGGTCATTTCAGGTTGCGAGAAAACATAAAAGAAATTCATGTTTGAGGATCAGAGAAGTCGCTGGTTTCCCACTTAGGAAAGAAAAACAAATGACTGATTTTTTTCATTTTTCAACATTGACTAAATGGTTTGGAAAACTTAGCTGTATTTTTTTATTAAATTCCAGATGCTTCATGGCACTTTGGTGTGACCCTCAAAGCGTTAAAATTGCCTCATTTTGGATACAAAATTTGTTGATAGCTAGGGAAAATTCCAAATCGAAGATATAAACAAAGAAACAGATGCCTTAAATACAAGGATGATGATACTCATGTATTGCTAATTGGCTCTGAAGCCCACATACCGCAGGCTATAATCTAATCAACCCACACTGGACAAGTCCAGGAAAAATGAAAACCAGAAAAGGTAAAATGCATCAAAGAAATACAGGAAATGAAATGTCCGTAGTATCTTCAGAGATTCTCCAAAAATGGGGTGGCGGAGTTCGACAACTTATGCAGCAGTGAATATATATATATTTTTTTTCTAACATCGATCTGAAAATGGGTTATACATGCATGACATCAAGTATAATAATTGTGGCATTTGTTCAAAATCTTTATGCTGAGGCAAAGTTGAAAGAGACGAAACAAAAAACAAAAGGTTGTGTCAGTCTTTCCACTGCTGCATACGTTTCAAACTTTCCCTCTGCCGTTTTCTAGTAAATAGTAAATAAATTATGAATACAGCACAAAAAAACAATACTTCTACAGATTCCCCTGTTCCCTTTTTTCAAAACCAGAAATCAGAAGAACGTAGAAAACTCTAAAAATGTGGTTTTCAGAAAGATTTAGTGTCGAAATCAGGGTTCAAATATCCGGGGTATAGCTTAGAACGTCAAGTTCTTTTTGGATTAAAAAAAAAATGTAATTTTGATGATATAAGATCGTGTGAAAACAGAAGAAATTACTACTGCCTGCATGTGCTTAAGAACACCATTTTTAAAATTTCCAGGAGAGTTTTGTGAGATCAAAGGGAGGAAAGGGAAGGACGAGGAGGGAAAGAAATTAAGAATATACCGACCAGCTTGTCTAGGGAGAGCCCTCCAATTCTGATGACCATGTTTCTGAATGAAACTGGTGAGCATCAAGTCTTCAACAGCACTCCATGGCCCTTTCTTCACCTCGTTCTTATCACAGCAAGGAGCTCTTCCTTTCACCATTTTTCACTTCCTCTCTTCCCTCAGAGAACTGAATGAATTTAAAGGCACAGCCACTTTAACTCTCAAGCACATAAGATTTAGATTTTTCTTCAGATGCCACCTTTGACTTTAAATATATATATATGTCTCTAAGTAGAGAAGGCCACGAAATTGGATTCCCCTTATAGAAATAAATACAAGGCAAATCCATAAGGATTGTAAATATCTAGAGTTCCAAAATGATATTTTTTGCTTTCAATATATTATTTCTCGACAAACAATTTATTGATCCAAGTGGAAAGAATTCAATTATTTTTAAATAAAATTATGAATTTAAATTTTATAAATGAAAAAACATATGTTAAGAAAATTTTTATCTTTATAAGATTCAACATAGCTTAACTCTAATGGGATCCAATATAACTTTCAGATATCAAAAAGTTTAATACTAAAAAAAAATATAATATTCACCAAGACCTACTGGAAACTTCTATGAAATATTGGATTGACTTTGTACACTTGTCAAGGATTGAGTTTCTCGATCATAGCCATCCATTTGGAGAAAATGACATCATTTATCATTTATATGATGTCATTTCTCCTTGAAATATTTGTGAAATCTTGGTTTAAAACAATTTACCTTTTTTTTAAAGTCAAGTAACATTATATAGAGGTGAGATGAGTTAAATAATAAAAAAATATTCTTTTAAATGTAAGATGTTTTTCACAGCGATGTTAATTACTAGCCAGGAAAGCCTACCATATCAAGTTATTGCCAGTCTCATTGCTCTTAGTTTTGTCAGGATTGTAGAACCAGATTTCTTGCCAAGTTACAGTGGCTATTATTGTATTACATATTAAAAATCTATATAAAATATCATATATGTTTTTTCAAGTTGCATAATAAATGATAATTATCTTTCATTCTCTTATGAGTTTACCATTAATCTAAACATTTAATAAGAAGATAATCATATTTCCTATAATTAAAGATTATGAAAAGTACAACACAAAAGTGAGGGAGTAATAATTTGTGGGATCCAATTTGAGTACAAAATTATTTCAATCATTGTGAGTACATATGAGGTCTGTACCAGAGATGGAGCTAGAACCAGACAAGGAGGGGCAACTGCCCTCAATAAACTTTTGAAAAATTATAAATATGGTCCTTTGAAATTTTTACTAAGATTTACCTTCTAGAGTTTGAAATGTAAGGAATCTTTCAAATATTAAAAAAGAAAAGAAAAAGTTAGGATCTAGCTTGAACGAGTTTCTAAAAGATAAGGATTTTGAACTTTATGCATATTTGACTAATTAAGAATTAAGATTTTCTAAAGTTCTCTTTTTTATTGTATTAAAAAAAATTTTCTTTTGCAATAAGTATAATATAAGTTTTAATTTTTTAATATTTTTTTAAAAATAAAATTTTTATAAAAGTCACGGTATTAATATATTATAAAAAATTGAAAATT